AGGGGCAGCGGAAGGGAAAGAAGGGAAAGGAAAATGATGAGAAATGGAAAAAATGGAAATAAAGTCTTTGTAAATAGGGAAGGGTGGAGGGGGAGAAGGGAGGGCTAGGAATGGGGAAAAAATAAGAAACAAGATGCATCATGTAAAGGTACAAGTTCCCAATGAAAAATGTAATTGTGTTGTATACCTAAAATGTACCAATAAAAGAATTTAAGAAAATAAATTGTTGCATTTCATCATGAATTCTCTTCCCTTTTAAAATAGACTTTATTAGCATGGCTTATATTGCTTACAGATCATAAAACAGGGAGTTATGTGCCCGTTCTTCCATCTATCCCTCCATGTGTAATACTGTCTAATTCTGATTCCTGTTGCTGTAACAAAATGCAGGGGGGTAGGTAATATAAGAAGAAAAGATGTCTGTTTAGCTCACTGCTTAGGATGGTTGAATGTCTGAGACTGTGCAGGCCTATTGGTTTGGGTTCTGCTTAGGACCCCTTGACTTCATTACAACATGATGGCTGGTATCATGGCAGGAGCACATGTTGGAGGAGAGAGCATCACATCAAGACAGGAAGCAGTGGGCATTCAGGCTCCAGACCCAGCTTTTATAACAATCCACCCTCACAGGCCTTAACCAGGATGCTGTGATAACAACATTAACCCATGCCCAAAGCTTTCAGTGACTGAATTATCCCAAAGGAGACCCCTCCTCTTAAAGGTTCCATTACTTCAACAGTACCACAGTGGGAACCAAGCTTTCAGCACTGGAGCCTTTTGGAGAACCATGTCCACCCCATGGCACATACACAAGTTTTTAAAAATGCATTGTAATATAGGACCATGTAATATGAGAATAGGTATAGGCATTACTTAAAAGCAGGAGGTATAATATAAACCTAGGATAATAACTTGAGTAAGAACTTTTTTTCTGATAAGGGGTTGGATAATAAATATTTTAGTCTTTGTTGTTCAGGAAGCAAAACTGAGGATATAATAAGAAATGAAACACATTTCTGCCATCTTTTCATCAGAATCATAAAAAATATAATAATAAAAATCAA